GCATGCCTCTTGTTTAGCTTGTGCTGGTGATTAATGAACTTTAATGCCTCATGATCAGAATATAGAACAAATGGCTTGGCAAGAAGATATTGACTCCAATGAGACAAAGCTCTACCACAGAGGTAGAATATATTAGTGCTATAGAGGTTTACAAATTAATGTTATGGATGAAAGAATTCTTACAAGAATTGGGGTTGAAACAGAAAAACTATGTGGTTAATTGTGACAACCAAAGTGTCATCCAATTATGTAAGAACCTAATTTTTCATTCCAAATCAAAGTATATAGACGTCAGATACCATTGGATTCGAAATATACTTGAAGAGAAGTAGTTGCAGCTTTAGAAAAATAACATAGATGACAACGGAATCGACATGTTGACAAAGACCTTACCAAACGAAAAACATGAGATATGTTGACAGTTCATTGGTATGACTTTACATTGAGGAGTCATAGAACAACCTCCCTTATGGGCTGAAGGGGGAGGTTGTTGGGCTGACAACCTATAAGTTTAGCTCATAGTGGATTTTAATAGCCCATAATCCACTCCTCTTTTAACCTAACCCTAGATCTAATAAGGGGGGTGTGATGGTTGCAAAAATAAGATAAAAACTATAGCAATGAGGCATCAAATTGCAATAGCAACTTAATTTAAAAAATAAGGAGAAAATAGGAAAAAAAATAAGAGAATGAAAGGGAAGAAGATAAGAACAACACAGAGAGACTGTTCTCAATCATTTAGGTAATGTTCTTTTCTTAGGTTAGATCAGATCTACAGTAGATTCTTGTTGTAATTACTTAGGGAGAATTTGGATATTGTGTACAGTGATATAATCCTTGTATCCCAGTTATTCTCTTGAGATTGTTGCTTGGGTTTTGGAAAAATGCTGAGATTTATATATTTATTATTTTTATAGTGAATTATCTCTAATTTACCCCATAATTTTTATCCTGAAGAATTTTTTATGTAAATTTTGATGTTCTAATTGTCATTTTCATTTAATTCTATTATATGACATTTGTTTATATACAAAATTTATGACACTAATTTAGATCACGTTGGCAAAGTAGATTTAGGTGTGAACAGGCAATTGTTGGTCTCTTATTATGAGAAGCAACCATAGTCATTCTTTTTAAGCAGAAGCAAATATTCCCATGCACAACTTAGACCCACTTCTACAGCTACCAACAAGCAAGCCAAGGACATTCCTGTAAGCCAGGAAATCTGGAAGGAGACTTCTTTTCGATAGAGAAATCATATCAACTTCTAACGGCTATGGAGGGTTAAACATAATCTCATAGATTTTGAAGTTAAGACTTGGAAGGCGAATTCAACGAATGATATACTGTGCACGTCTCATCTTCTATCTGAAATCGTCAGAGTTGTAGTCTTCTGATGCCTCAGCAAACAAAAAGACCTAAGTAATACTTTTGATGTGGTCGGTAAACACAGCTTTCCATGGTTTAGGTATCTTGAGACTGGCATGTCGGCATAATAAGTGTAAGGATTCTTCGGCTGACAGCTGCTGGTTGGTCTTGCTTTTGTAGGACACAGATGTTATATTATTGTTTGGCAAACCACGAAAGTAGAGTGCCAAAGAAAGTGCAGCTCATCCATTGCCTCAAATCTGAAGTCCTAATTAATTAATACCTCTATTCATTAGGTAGACATAGTTTTCTGCTGCGAGGCCATCGCAACAAGTTCTTGACATAAATAAACCCAAAAACAAAAGTAGATCTGATGAATACAGTCTTAAACATTTCACACCACCAATACTTGCTGCTTAACTAAGTTAATGGATAATGATTGTTAATGTTGCTTGGCAAACATTGAACCGATACAGTAAAAGCAAAAAAACGGACACTGGATTGATTTCCATTCCAAAGAGCCTCCTATCACATTATTACAGAACATTAAAAGCGCATGCACGGCTAACCTACTTCTCAACACATCCCTTTAATGCACAGATGGGTTCATTTAAATAGACCTGCAATGTTGGGGCCAGCCTACTGAGGAGAGCGATGTTTGAGGAATCAATCAATCAAACCCGAGAATTGACAAAGATATTGTCATGCATACATAATCTAGCCAACCAATACTCCTAATTCTGGTCTTACAAAGATAATAGAGAGTCTAAATTAACATTTAAGTGGATGATTTGACTCTCTCTCTCTCATGTTCGAGATTCTTTATCCTTTCTCTCCTTTTCCATTGTGCTACAAGTCCCGAATAAATTGATCATGGAATATAATCCAACAGTTGATGATGTACAAGTGAAGAAAAAGTTGCCCGCAACAACCAAAGGTGAAAGCTCACCTACACAAATGAAGACTTGCCACGTGTATTTCCTTTTTATCCCCTCCAAATAATTACTTTTATTCTACTAATTTATATGTGTAGTGGGGGTAATGTGACATGTGAATAATTATAATTGTAATTATTAATTTTTTGGGTATAATTTATTGTTTCTGGAGAGCACGCGCTGCGAGGTGGTCCGGGAACGAGTTCGACCTCCATCCCCTGCTTGTCTCCGATACGCCAAACAAGTTTTTGGATCAGGTAGCGTCGCCACGTTACCAAGTGTGATGTCTTCGGGACGCGTCATGATGAATGTTGTGGTGTTTTCTGCTTGTCGAGTGATAGCAGATCGAGAAAGAAACGAACCGGATGAGACGAGACAACATGTTAAGTGATAGCAGATCAAGAAAGAAACGAACCGGACGAGACGAGACAACATGTTAAGTGATAGCAGATCAAGAAAGAAACGAACCGGACGAGACGAGACAACCGAGTTAGAGGATTCTTGGCGGACCATACCACGCTAGTCGATGGTTTTTTATGAATGGGCCCCTAGGAAGAATCTAAATTATCATTCTACTCCTGTCGACGAGCCGTTTAATTGACAGCCCCTCCTCTTCCCCCTCCCTCGTCGCTCGGTCTCGCTCGACTGATGCCTCTTTGACCTCCTCCTCTAGCGATCGAAACCCCCTTCAAGCCCTAGCAAGATAGAAAAAGAAGAAGAAGAAGAGATTGGGTGAAGAGGGAGCGGCGTCGGACAGCGTCCGACGAGCGGCGGGCGAGGGCCATGGGTCAGTGCTACGGCAAGAACATCTCTGTTGCCGAGGACGGCCACCGGGAACGACTGAGCCCCGCAAACGGAAGCGCAGATAGTGGTGGCGCGGCCCCCGCCACCCCGCTCCGCAGAGGCCGAAGCGGCGCCGCCACGCCCGTTCACTCCTCCTCGACCAGCACCACCGCCACCGCATGGCCCAGCCCCTACCAGCAGGGCTCCGCCAGCCCTCTTCCCGCCGAGGTCCCCCCCTCCCCGGCGAGGTCCACCCCCCGGCGATTGTTTCGGCGGCCCTTCCCGCCACCATCTCCCGCGAAGCATATAAGGATCGCCCTCGCAAAGCGCCAGGGCCTGCCGAAACCCAAGGAGAGTCCGATCCCCGAGGATGGAAACGAGGAGGTGGAGAGACCGCTGGATAAGAGCTTCGGCTATGGCAAGAACTTTGAGGCGAAGTATGAGCTGGGGAAGGAGGTTGGAAGAGGACATTTTGGGCACACGTGCTTGGCGACGGCCAAGAAAGGGGAGATCATGGGTCAGTTTGTCGCCGTCAAGATCATTTCCAAAGCAAAGGTGCGGTGGTATGTCCACAATGGTTTTCTTTTTTTTCAAAAATTTCCATTTTGTCGCCATCGAGATTATCTCCGAAGCTAAGGTGTGATGGTATGTCCAAAGACGGGCTTTTCATTTTCTACAAAATCTACCGTCTTATGTTTAAGCATTTCCTTAACGATTGATACCTAGTTAGTGTCAAACGATGCAAGAACTCAATCTATTCTTTTTTCATATTGTTGTTTGTTTGATTACTGACTGCTTTTCATTTGTAATTTAGTGTTTTTTTTACCTCTTCATTTTGACGTTAATTTTAATTTATGTCTCTTTGTATGTTTCGGGTTGTCGATTGGGGGGAGAGGGGGTATTGTAGGAGTTGTACTTGATTGCTTGGCATGCATATTATGTATTCTGGGACAAGAAATGAGAAACAAATTTTCATGAGATGCTGGAGCATTAGATTATCAGGTTTTCTCATAATCGGCAATGAAAACTAGATAATTTGAAGATTAATTCTGGTGCCTTTGGTCTCACAATTATATGCTTCCATTTGAAGCATTGCATTGTACTATGGTTTTGAGCATTTACAATAGCCTGGTTTTCATTATCAAGTTGCACAAGCAAGTTACCAACATTGCTTATGCTACTATTCTGTGAACCCGAATTGCTTGTTTAAAACTCCAGTGTATGATTTCTATTGACTAACTGATGATTTACAATGGATAGCCCATCTGCATTCCCTTGGAAATGAAATCTTGATAAAAAACACTCTGACGCCTTATTAAAACCCATCTGCACATATCCACCACTAGGTTGATATTGTGTCCCATATAAGCAAACATGTTATTTGCTGCTGTGCAAGTCATGTAATGCAAATCTAGTTGTCCAAAATGGACTATGTGAGCAACAATTTTAAGGTTTTATTATGGTCTGGAGAAATTTCTTGATTAACAAATTTGGGAAAATCTATATGACAAATCACCTGCATGCATGATGCTGTCTTAAATTAATGTTCTCAACATGAATTCCTTAGAGTTTTGGTGGGATATAGTAGAAACAAAATGTTGTTTTGATTAGATGCATTTAGTGAACTTTAAGAACTACTTTGTTATTTGACAAATTGCACCCGTATCGTTTAATGTGTTGGCTTATTGGCTTACATATGCTTAAAATTTTTGTGTGTGCTAAGTCGTTGACCCTCTGGATTCTGCTTACTTCAAGGGAAAATTTTAAGGCATCGGCCCATTTTACCTGGTCTTAAGATGTGACTGATATAGGTCTCTCTGCCAATTGACTAGCCTTCTAGGTTTTGGGGATGAGTCCTTGTTTATACTTTTCCCTTGAAAGGTTTGACTAGGAATTGATGCTAACTTTTAGTTTGACATTAGGGTGACAGTGGATTTTAAAATTCTTAAAATGAGCATGAAATCACTAGCTCTGCATTCTGATATTTATAATGAACATGTAGTTAGTTCACTGCTGCTTTTTTTGACAGATGACAACACCAATATCAATTGAAGATGTTCGTAGGGAGGTCAAAATCCTGAAAGCTTTATCTGGGCATAAAAATCTTGTCAAGTTTTATGATGCATGTGAGGATGAACTTAATGTCTACATAGTCATGGAGTATGTCTTCTTGATTTCATTTTTATTGTTTTTAATGAATTTGTAATGATATAGCTAGGAGTACCAATTACTTGGATTAGACATCCTGATATTTGTTCTTCATTTTTCTAGATAGGATTGATTGATTCCACACTTTCCTGTACTTATCCTGGTGGCATGCATCTTTTATCCTACTTGGTATAACAATTGAAAGACAAGAATCTTCTTTACCAAATAAGCAAAAGAAGAGGCTTCTCTGTGATGGCGGTTCATGCATCGTGCTTTTTGATTATGCAAGTCCAGGGACCTTACTATCTATCTATTTTTCTTTCCCAGATTATGTGAAGGTGGAGAATTATTAGATAGAATTCTATCCAGGTAGAATTGTTTTTCTCATGAATTCATATACTAACTGCTTGATTTTTTTTTCTTCACACATGAAATCTTACGTGAAATTCTTATTTCTTGTGTTCTCAAGAGGTGGAAGGTGCACAGAGGAGGATGCAAAAGCAATTGTCATTCAAATACTGAGTGTGATGGGCTTCTGTCATCTTCAAGGTGTTGTGCATCGTGATCTAAAGCCAGAGGTTTGTATCATAAGTAGCTTAATCATTGCAACATATACTTGTTATCATCCAGTCCCTGCATCTGATGGCAACCTCGTCCACTGCCACCTTCCTTTTCTCTTTCCAGCATATTTATTAATCAATGCTGCTGACATTTCTTGTTTTGTTCTTCATGACAGAATTTTCTTTTTACCACCAGAGATGAAAATGCCACCATGAAGTTGATTGATTTTGGTCTTTCTGATTTTATTAAACCAGGTGAGCATTGTCTAACTCTTTGGACTTATCCGGGGTTTCCTGGAATTTTTTATCGTCAATTTAGTTGCACCCTATGTGAAGTTGTGCAATTATCTTGGGAGGACCAGGATTTGGTCCTCTTATGTTTTTTTCCAGGATCATTTGTTGTGTATGCTTTCGATTTTCTTATGTGAAACAATCTGAAAGGAATCATATAATTAAACTATCTTCTGAAGTTGATTTTGGTTCATATGAATTGCTTTATCTTTCAATTCAAATTGGGATCACATATACGGCTGTTTGCATTGACGCCTTTCCTTGTTTCTTAAGCTTTATTGAGAAAGGAACCTGGGAAATAGTGGCAAGAATGTTGCATTATACGAATATAATAATAGAGTATGAGTTAGAATGTAAGGGAGGAGAACACCTGAATTCCCAAAGGTCCTGCATGGTACTTGGGTTCTGATATGAGATGGAATCACCATCATGTGAGGCTCCTTTCATGGTGAGTGAAGGTTATGTGGTCCCTAAGACCATGGCGATTCAGATTAGTTTTATAACCAAAAAAAAAAAATACTTAAAAGATGATCTAGATGCACACCTTGTGGTGGACTGATTATTACAATCCTATGAGAACCCACACAAGGTTAAAAATAAGCACATTGATTCTAGACTGGCATTGAAATATAGGGATGGGACTGGTTGAGATCAAGCAGTTTGACCTGTTTGAATTAAAAAGCTATGAAAATATATGCTCCATCCAAATGGTGATTTTAAAATGAAAACATTAAAAGAAATGAAAACAAAACACACAATAATATAGGCTAAATTGTTGACTTCCTCCTATCAATGATAATATAATTGCTTAATAATCTGCATGTCAACAGAGCAATATGTGTGTCTTCTTCCTTGACCTCTTTCTCATCCTTCTTTTTCCCGTCTTCATCCAGTTGCTTTATCTGCTGTGATCAATTGGAACATTTATGATTGTTGTCCAAGCTGATGGGTTGTTTTTTTCAAATTGATCCTGAGACTCTAGATCCTTAGGTGCTGAGATATGAAAACATTTAGACTACCTTGATTTGGCACATAGATTTAAGATGATCTTACATGCTGTCCACTAGGAAGGATTTGGGGAGGCAATGGGTGCTCACTAGTATACCAAAGATTCATTTGAGGAGATTGTCATACCAACAATGACCTACATCATTTGTTGCCTATGATGTGAGATGTAAAAGTAGGGTATAAAATAGAATATTTTATTCATAGGGAAATAGGGTATAAAATACATAACAAAAAATTAACAATCTCTTAGTAACAATTAACAGAACAATAAAATATATTTTGTAGTCACTAATTTATCCATTATGGACAAAGATTAGATGACAAGCCTTAGAATGAAAAAAAAAAAAACGTTTTGATGAGGTAGCAAATTTTCTTGATTGTTAGTGTGCAAAAAACTTTTTATCAGATGATCTACATTAGATATGATAATCGGAATGGAAAGTAATCAAAGCATTATCTCTGCAAATAAAATTTCCAGTCTGGCTATCTGACACCAGGATTTCTTAAATAACCATTCACCTTATTAAAATATTGATTTTTGGAATATAACTACTCCTTTTTAAACTTTAAAGAATTATGCCACCTAAAATAGTTGATATGGGTACTGGGCAAGGGCCTAGTTTATGTTTGGGGCATCCATCAAATTCCTTTAAGACAGATAGATATGACTACATGTCAGAAAAATGATCTTAAGAGGAGATGATATACATTGGAGAGGAGGATGATGGTTTACTACCTAATTAACCTGGTTATTTTCTCCTATTAGTTGAATGTACTTTGGCCCTAATTAATCTGGTTTTTTTACTACTTTGGCCCTAATTAATCTGGTATTCATAGATTTTTTTCACAAACTACTTGGTTTTTTTTTATAAAATTCCAACATTCTATTTTCACCACTGTTCTTTTCAACCTGTATCATCATGCTATGCTTGATGTATCTAAAATTCTCTGCTTTATGATTGTGCAGACGAAAGACTAAATGATATTGTTGGAAGTGCATATTATGTTGCCCCTGAAGTTCTACATAGATCATACAGTATGGAGGCAGATATTTGGAGTATTGGTGTTATAGCATATATCTTGTTGTGTGGTAGTAGACCTTTCTGGGCACGGACAGAATCAGGAATTTTTCATGCAGTGCTGAAAGCTGATCCCAACTTTGATGATCCGCCTTGGCCTGATGTATCTCCAGGAGCTAAAGATTTTGTGAAAAGGCTCTTGAATAAGGACTATAGAAAAAGAATGACAGCTGCACAGGCCTTGAGTAAATTGCTACTTATTACTAATCATAATTATTTCTCACTAGTAAATAGTTAGTACTTTTTCTTAATTTATTAGGTTTAAAATTAATTCATTATATTTTATAGCTTCTGAAGATACTTTGCTCCCTTAGATACTAGACTATGTTAGCTAGTTGATCGAGGCTTGTATCTATAGTGAATTCCTGAAAACTAAACTGCTTCTCTGGTGGCAGCGCACCCTTGGTTGCGAGATGAACAATGGCAAATTCCTTTAGATATACTGATATATAAGTTAGCCAAGTCTTATCTTCGTGTCACACCTCTTAAACGGGCCGCATTAAAGGTATATGGCAATAAATACTAAAACTTTGGTAGCTTTATGATTTGTGCCGGTTTTTCACTTGTTATGTATGCATCTGGAAGAAAATATTGAGTTTTTCCCTTGTATGGGAATTGCTATTCTGAATGCCTATTATGCTTTGATTTTTAAGAGCAATTAATGTTCTATAATAACTTTTTGTAACAAAAACCTTTGTTTAGACACATCATAACGTTACCATCCAATTTCATGTCCACATATTGTACATGGCCTATTTTCCCTACATGCTTATTACTTTGTTACAACTTGATTGCCAAAAAAGGAAAAAAAATGTTTTCTATCTTGGTCATCTCACAATATGTAGTGCAGCTTAGAATTTTCATGTCTGTTTAAGGTAAAAATCCCCATCTACCCGGTTGTTCACTTTGTGAAAATACATCCTGCATGAAAAAAATATACTCCACTAGTGAAACTCATGAAATTTTAGAAAAAAAATAATATCAATGTTGTGTCTGATGATGAGTGATCATAACATTTGCAAAGTATGTAGAGAACGAAGTTCGGTTTCACTTGCCTAATTTCGTGTTGTTTTTTAGTGCTGATTATTCCTTAGCTGAATCCCTTGAAGGCTGTGTTACCTTCCAATTGAGATTTCAAATTGTGGGTTCTGACTTTGTCAAGTGGGTGACCGCATAAGAACAGAAATACTGACATACTATGCTTGTGATAAAACACACAAAAAAAAGAATAAAAAGACTGGTCAGGAGTGCAGCAACAATATGCACGTAATGTACTAGGTGATATTTAACACATGCAGGGCAAATGTGTGAAGCATGTATTCTGGGCATGTGACATTGCCTAGGAATTGACCAAGTAGCCTTATACAATGGACTATGTTTGGCATGCCAGATAATTTCTTTTTGCCAATATATATGCTTGGTTGATAAGCTGTCACAGTTTGCAGCTAGGTCAGATTTCCATCAAAGGTTATGAATGGGCACTGATGGGAGCATTTGATTAAAACATTATTTATAGTTTAGGGGTCCAACTGACAGCTCTTTGTTCTTTGTTGGTGAGAGTAGTTTCAGTTGTACATGGGGGCATCTTTCCTAAACTCATTTGGTCGATACAGAGGCATATAATGGAACAAATGATATTTGCAACTTTAACAATATGTCACTTAAAACTGTCCCCAATTATTCTTATTTCTCTTTATTGTTTTTTGCAGCATTTGTTACATTGGGTACAGATACAACCTGTATCTATCTATAAGCATGTGTGCCACCAATTGTTCTGATGATACTTTGAAGTTTATTAAACATCTTTTAATATGTTTTCATACTTGTATACTTCTACCACAGGCACTATCTAAAGCTCTAACGGACGATGAGCTTTTTTATCTAAGGTTGCAGTTTAAGCTATTAGAACCAAATAAAGATGGTCATGTATCGCTTGAAAACTTCCGAATGGTCAGCCAATTCTATGTTTGTTTCTTGCACATTTCAGTAGAATAGTTTATAGTAAAAGCCAATGTAGCTATGAAGATTTCTATTGATGTGCTATATACTCCTATTTGAATATCTATGTATTGTGCATTTGGTGCAGGCACTATTTCAAAATGCAAGCGAAGCGATGAGGGAGGCTAGGGTTCCTGATATACTGAATGCGGTGAGGCATCCATTCTTCTGCTATTTCATACTAGTTTCCTAGTTTCTTTTGTAGAGCACCATTAGTTTTTAAGAATTCTAATTCGGTTTTTCATTTTATGGAATTCATAGGTTCTTCATTGTCACATGTCATAGTAATCGTTTGCCTAAATTACTGAGATTATAGAAGTTGTTATGGCCTGTTTCATAGGCTGTGTATATCTTTAAGATCATTGTCAGACGAAAAAAAATTGCAATGAAGGTAATTAAGGATTATTATGTTAAAAACTTTCTTTTGTTGGACTCTCTGGAGGATCTAGATTAGGTTTTGGTTGTTGGATCTCTAAAATTTATTACAATAGATCGGATCTTAGTCAGTTCTTTTAGGTTGTTTCTCTTTGTGGCAAATTGCTGTCTGCAAAACATGTCTGTCATATGTTCGTGAATCATTGTGGATCATGAAATTCATGTCATTTAATGTCTGTTTGACATTTCTCTCTGTTCCTAATGAGAAGTTTTTACTGAAAGAGTCGTTTATTGATGTCTGTTCTAAAACCCAGCTGGAGCCACTCTCATATCGAAGGTTGGACTTTGAGGAATTCTGTGCTGCTACAATCAGCCCCTACCAACTCGAGGCGTTGGATGGTTGGGAACAGATAGCTAGCACAGCTTTCGAGTATTTTGAGCGGGAGGGAAATCGAGTCATCTTTGTCAAAGAACTCGCTCAGGTACCACCAATCATACATACAACAATTCTTTGTCTCTGTTTGATTGTTTCACCTATTAGAATGTAACATCAGTTGCTACCTGTAGGAATTGAACCTCCCCTCAACTTCTTATTCTGTTCTGAGAGGCTGGATTAGACCAGAAGACCGCAAGTTCAGTTTCCTTGGATACACCAAATACTTGGTTGGTGCAACGACACGCAGCTCAAACACAAGACACTGCTAGATTTTTGATGTAGTTGTTTCCTGATACTGATCCATTCATAAATAATGTGCCGGTTTCATCACCTTTTTTCTCGCCGATGTATATTTTTCGACATGCATAGAATAGCTTCTATATGTAGATAATGAATTAGAGAACGGATGTAAAGACGAATTTGCAATGAAGCTGAAACGAAGGGCTCCTAACGCATTATTTTGTTCTATCGACTTTGTTCGGTCTCCCCCCATTTGCCGCTGTGCTTTGGTCTATTTCTTGCATTCTGCTCCTTGTGTGGTAGGATTTCTCTTAGCACTAGTGAAGAAGACACTCTTGTTGCATCTTTGGAAGAGTAATCAATATACCAGTTAATATCTTCCTTGACTTGCCTGACGGATCGCCCGTCGCCCAGAGAACAACACATCAAACAGAGACCGCAGTCAAGTTGGCCCGAACTGTTGCTTTCTGTCATGAACGCGACAAGACACATCCAGTGGCCGGAGGCAGCCCGGCCTCGCCGATCGATCCTTGCTCTCACACGAACCAGCCATTTGGCTTCCAGTTCTAAACGCCCCCACATCGAACTTTAGAATGCCGGTCAACATCCTCGAGAACATATGTCGGAGCGAACCGCCTCTCCACGGCAGGAGGAAGACGAGAAGGTTGATGAGCTTGTCCGTGGTCCTCGTGCGAGTATGTGATTGGCTCGGTCGTGGTTTGCGTGTTTGATCCACGCACAAGGATCCATGAAAGCTGCGTCTTTGGAACTTCGGCAACATGGTGGGGACTTGCGTTTACCAAATGGACCACCGGCCGAGGCCGTGTTGCTGTCATAGAACAGAATGAAGTTTCACAGGCAAAGAATTCATCTGATATAAGTCGTAGCAGCCAAGGTAAAAATGATCGATAAACAAAGGAGCTAGCTTGCACACTGTTTCAAGTACACGGCTTCAAGGATTGCAACAAGTCAATACATCTCTCACTAGTATAATTCAAGTGGATAATGCCTGTATGAATCGGGAAGTCAGTGATGTGATAAGGGCCTGCCCAATTTAATGCGACCGACGTCACAAGTTTTGTATGTTAACACCAATAACTCCACCAACATACGTACACAGTTAGAGATACATGAAAACATATTGTTGTACTTGGAAATCCACCTGATTAAGAACTGCAGCAGCAGAATAAGCTCGAGCTTTTGTCTTGTAGCCATGGCAGTATCAGGCACGTACAGTTGCATGCGTGTGCAGGTTGTGGTTTCCGGGGTGGGTAAGATGATAACTTGGATTTTTTTTTGTCTCTTTTGTGGTCATAAATAGTTTGCAATGTGCCACACAAGTTTAATCCTATTGTTCCATGGTTTTTGTTGCAACGATGAACGTAGACTTTTGCACCACTTGAACTCTCTCATGAGCAAACAATCTATGTGGTATGTGCATCCATAAAGTCTTGAGAAATAGAAGGAAAAGTAGAGCACCAAATCTTAATTCTTAATCGACAGCAATAAGAATGGTAAGATTCTCTTGGAATCAATACTTTACATCTCCGATATAGACACCCCACCCGTCACCGGCTGTGGTTAGGGTTAGGGTTATGGGTTCATTCAAGCCCTGAAACAAAGGTGAAAGTGGTGGTGGTGGTGATGATGGTGGCCATGGTGGTGGTGACCGGCGGCGACGGAGTTGCAGTCGCGGTCGATGATGTCCTGGACGCGGCGGAAGTGCTCGACGTGGCAGGGGATGGTGATGGCGCCCTGGTGGTTGAAGCCGTACTCCTCCTCCGCCTCCTTGAGCAGCCCCACGAAGAGGGGGTGGCTCAGGTAGTCCACCGGCACCACGAACCGCTGCCGCTCCTCCCCCTCCCCGCCCACCCTTATTCCCATCCACCCCTTCCTTATCCCCTCCTCCTCCTCCCCTCTCCTCCTCCCATGCCCCGCCATGATCTTGTGCGGCAAGTGCAGGTGCAACCCCATCTCCCTCCCTCTCTCTTTCTCCCTCGCCTTCCTGCCTTGGGAGAAATCAACAGACAGCAAAGCAGAAGGATCGATCTAAAATAGAGAAGATTTAGAGATGAGGAGTGGCGCACACAGCGCTCGACGTCCAGCCACAACTACAGAGGACAATAAGCTACACTAATAGAGAAAGACGGAGAGGGAGAGGGAGAGAGAGAGAGAGAGGCTTTCGATGACGTCCTTCCCACGTAGGCTTATTGTGTCCACGGAATCATTAACAGGTCGGATCCACATAGGATCCGAATCCGACAATCATGTTCATTACCGGTTTCCCGATAGGCATAATTCATTACATGCTTTCGCCCAAAGCAAGCATTCGTGGTAACCACCATCGTCATCACCATCATCACCAAGCGATTCCAAAGAAATGGCCGCGCATGATCCACGCCACTCCCTCAAAAGGCTTCCTGCGGAAAGCAGCATAGACTTCGGTGGTGCTGTGCTCGTGCAGCCATTGCATGCCGACCGGACGGAGTGCTTCCCATATCATTCCATGACTGGAGGCTGATGGCACGTGTGGAGTCGTATCTCGTTTTGACTCTTGACGTGTGTTCGATTGTCCGGAAGTACATGTTCTTGGGGTCAAATAAATCATGTAAATTAAACGGATCTTATGACATGATCAACTTGACCGATGATTCAAATTGGGCCCAAATGGGCCTTAAATCAATCAATGCAAACAGGCTTCGAAGTTGCTGCATGTTAAGGATTCTTTGATCCCATCAGTAAAATTGTTGCGAAGGCTAAAGCAAATCTTACAAACATTTGTTATACAAAGATAAATGTAATTTTGGCCGATATATTCGAGGAGTATCTTTTTGCCTTTCATAATGTGACTTGCCAAATCTAGAAAAAATCTCATCAGTAAATTTATTGCAAAGGTTAAATCGATCTCATGAATAATATTATTGCAGACTAGAAAAATCAAAAGAAAGAACCGAGTTCGAGGTTCACACCCTAAAGGAGCATGCATGGGAAGGTTCATCCCACATTCCAACAAAACCTAGTTCTGCTGGCAGCAAAAGGAGCATGATCTTGATGTCCATCCATAACAAGAACATCATCAGGATTCAATGGAAGCAGCCACAAATGGCTCCCAGCACTGTCTTTCCAAGTGCATGCATTGGCTGCAGAAGGGGAAGAAAACCGGCGGAGAAGGGTAGGGGACAACCGTAGAATTAATTCACTGTTAAGTCGGTCTTACTGTCTGTACAGCATGACAAAGTTCCTTCCTAGTCGACTTCTGCGATCCCTGTTCTTGCTGTCCATCGCGTCGAGAACATCAATCAGATTCATTGAACGCCAGCCGCAAATGCCAAGAATCGAGCATCTAGATTTCCTCCCAGTCCATGTTTTGGCAAGTCCTTAAGCTGACCGACCCATAGGAACTTGTGAGAATTGGAGAAGAAGAGAAGGGATCAATGTACCTTTCTCCTCTTCTCCGACTGCTGCACCCACCAAATGAGCTCGTCTTTCACGGTCATTTGGGGCCTTGTACGTTCTGGTGAGGAAGACCACCAGTTTGGGTGGCGCACGTTACCATAAGCGACCTGGGCAGGAGAATTACCAGCGGCAGGGCTGTCAGATTCCTTGAGCCATAATAAAGAAATGATTCCTTGGACCGACTTGCGGATGGAGACGGGCGGCCTTGCGGTGAGATGAAGGGAACGTGGTCCGGGTCGGCCATTGGCTTCATTTACCTCAACTGCGACGCCGTTTTCGCTCCCCTGTTGCTGTTCACGTTCTTCACCCCTGTTCGCCTATAAAAGGTTACGCGTGTGTCTATGAACCATTTCTTCCTTCTTCCTCCCACTTTCTCGAGTCCTCCCGATTCCTTGCTTTAGTCTTTGGCCATGTCCATCGCAGCCGAACGCGACGGTAAGGCCTTCCTCCTCGCCTCAAGCTTCCGATGCGATGTGTGATGAGGTTGTTCTTTGGTTTGGCTTGACAGCACGAGTCTTATGGTTGTTTTGGTTCGACAGTTGAAGGGACTAGCGGTGGCTCTTGCCGGCGACCGGAGAAGAGGAGGAGGACTGACTCTCCGTTCAATGAGAGTAGAACAGATCAAGGCCGAGGGCAGGATCTGATCAGCAACCTGCCCAACGATTGCCTCTTGCTTATCTTCAGTTTTCTTCCGAGTCCCAGAGATCGCTGCCGGTGTTCTGCGGTGTCGAGGAGTTGGTTCGCGCTGCAGACCTTCCTGAGAAGGTCTGAATTCAGAGCCAACGTGGTGCTTCCCCCTCGATCGCGACAAGAGAGCTCCAGATGCCTCCAGGGAAGCAGCGCCAACGACTTGAGGCTGGGCGCCATGGCCATCGGGATGGACGAATGCGGAATCTTAACGGAGCTATCTGTGATCGACACGCTTCCTTGTTCTCTGCTTCCTCTTCATCATCATCATCATCATTGTCACGTTTCGGACGTCGGCATCTCAGCCATGGCGCAGGCTTGCAGCAACCTCAGGTCTCTCGCGCTACACAACTGCACCAAAGTGACCGATCGGGGCCTCGCGACGGTCGCACAGAACTGCACGGCACTGAAGAACCTGGAGCTAACCCATGCGGCGTCGGTCGGCGACCATGGCCTCGTCATCCTTGCAACCAGATGCCTCAAGTTAGCATCGTTGAGCCTGACCGCATGTCCAAGAGTCACCGATCGTTCGCTAGAGGCTTACTCCAAGCATTCCACCCACCTTAAGTCGATCACAGTGGCGCAGTGTCCTTTCATCACAGACTACGGCATTCTTTCGATCGTCGTCTTGCTAACGAAGCTAGAGACCGTCAAGATCTCGTCGATGAAGCTGGGCGACGGCGTCCTCCGAGCAATCGCACGCAGCGGCGAGCAGATCAAGACGTTGGCTCTGGAGCACGTGTGGGGTGTATCAGTGACGGGCTACCGTTGCATCGGAGAGACCACAAGGCTCAAAGAGCTTTCTTTAGACGCTTGCACCGGGTTGACGGATCGGTGCTTCAGAAGGTTATCGCCCACCAGCTTTGCCGGCCTCAAGAAGGTGGCGATGACGAGCTGCTCCTCGCTGACAGATTCGAGTCTCCTCGCGCTCACAGGACTTGCAGTGGAACTGGAGAGTCTCCACCTGGATACTTTCGAAGCTTTCACATACAGGGGTTTGATGATTGCTCTGGGAAACTGCAGCCGGACTCTGAAGGTGTTGACTCTGGTCAAGTGCGATTTCCGTGGCCGTGGAGCACTTGAGCAGCAAGAGGTCTACCCCCCTCGTCTTCTTCCTCTTCCTGCGGAATGCCCGATGCTACAGACCGTGAAACTGGAAGAGTGCGAGGGACTGGGAGATGACTTCATCTCGTGGGTCGGGCTGGCCTGCAAGAGCATCACCGACGTCAGTTTCGTGCGCATGGACTCCATTACCGACCGTCGCATCGAGTCCTTCATGAACCAGCTCAAGGGGTGGAACAGGATCAGCAGGGTGGACCTGAGCGGGAGCGCCGGCATCGGCAACAGGAGCGTGTGGGCGGTGACAAGGGAGTGCAAGGCGCGGCTGAGGTCGCTGGTGCTGCGGGGGTGCGAGCGCGTGTCGGACCGGGGCGCGGCGGTGATCACCAGGCGATGCACCAAGCTGGTGGAACTCGACCTAGGCGGGTGCAGCATCAGCGACGAGGCGGTGGAGAAGGTGGTGGGGGAGGACCCGCCGGACCTGGAGGTGCTGTCTCTGGCGGGGTGCACCAGGATCACGGACCGGAGCCTGGACGCGTTGGATGAGTACGGGGGCCTGGGCCTGAACCGGCTCGACCTGACCGGTTGCTCGGGACTGAGCCAATTCCGGGTCAATTTCATCAAGATCTACATCGATGAGGTCGATTACTGACGGCATGCACCAAACCAAACCTTGACATCCATGTGCTCATCCAATCCATGTTTAGTATTTGCGTCTTTGTACTCCTTTGTGGATGATATCGCGCTTTTCTGTGATTATTAATGGACCTTTATCTCATTCCATCTTCAGAGAGAGAGAGAGAGCGAGAGAGAGAGAGAGAGAGAGCGCTAAAAACACCTTTGGTAGGCAGAATGCTATATATTGATGATTCGAGTGAAAGAACATGATCAAATTCATCTTCTTTCTCATCATTAGAAAGAAAATTTATTAAAATTAATGTTAAAAAGAGCCTCCACTTTGATCCTCCTCTCAAAATATTGAAAGAAGATAAGATTTTTCTAACTATACGAGGAAATCTCCACTAAGAAAAATTCTTCGGTCTGTTGAGGAAAATTCTTCCTTCTAATCTGTATAAATAGGAGAGGGACATGTTAATATATGTAAGCCTTTTCACTTCTTCAATAAAGTTTCTTTAATAATTGTTCTTATCTTCTATTATTTTCATCAAATATAAGTGAAGGTGTGCATATATAGTAAGGTATAGAGACAATATGAAAAAAAGGAATAGAAAGAAAATATGAGTGAAGGTGTGCAAATATAGTAAGATATAGAGACAATATGAAAATAAGGAATGAAAAGAAGGAAAGTGATATGAAATTAATCACCTCACGCGATCGATTTACATTTGTGTAAATTCTTACGATTCATCAGCTTGTATTCTTTAATTTAACACGAAATGTTAATTGTTTGATATGTGGAGTAAGTTTTGAGTTAATGCAGATCTACTTCAGTGTTCGTCTTGGCTTATGGTGTTAGGGAGGCTAGAGATTCGAGCGATGATTTTATAAGGCTTACGTCGGAGGCTTATATGATAAAGCTCTATCCAATATCAAAGTTAGTATATAATTAAGAAGATTCATTAAAATGATTGGAAAACTAAAGAAAATTCTCTCTAAAAACACACCTAGGGCTCTATTATATTGTATCGGAGTGATTGTTGAATTAAAGCCGCGATAAATAAGAGGACCATCAATGAATCATAAGATCGTGCATCGAATTATCATACTATGATTATGGGGCAACGTATAGTACAATCTTATCTTACAACTAGCAACTATCGTTATCGAATCAGCACTCCTCGTTGTGTGATAATTCATCATGATCCCATGGCATCGGAACATGATAGACGAATCAACCAAGTGATGTGATATTTCATCGGGCTGCCCATATGTCATGTTGTCGATAACATAACGTAAGATAGAATCAATAATTTATCAGATAAATTTTGGATACAAAGCGTGACTATGCTAAGCGCTAACACCAATAGTCGGGTGGTTAGGATGTTTGGATGCACCAATCTCATAAATTCCTAATTCAATCTTTTTTTTTTCTCCTTGTCTTTGCACACAAGTTTGTGTTGCTAATGTAAGACAACATACGACTCATCATAGACTTGTAAGCTAGAATTAGGCTGTATTCACTGATGTATTAATTTGCGATGCTTGTTCGTCACCATGCAACCACTCCCAATGCGACAATATATATATATATCATGCATATCCAGTCCAATATGAAATGAATCATGAACATGTAGATTCATTATCTTAGACGCCGATGTGTAGCTGATATGGCCTAATATTGCCGTTTACGTGCCCCCAACAAATGACGATAAAACTTGAGTTGCACTACGCGTGTACTCTTATCATAAACAATCGGGCAAGGAAATAAGTATACAACACAACAGTGATTGTTTTTGCCGTACGGTAGCTTTCCCAGTTGTGATCAACTCAACCACTCCATTCAACTCTGCTGCCATACATCTCACTGCCCTACTGTCGATGTCCAATGAGACCGTGGCTGCTGCGTAGAGGTCTCAGTACCTTGCAGCGGCAATTTCGAAGCCATGGCAGTGAGAATTAACTATGGGAGACGGCTTCACGTGCAGAGGGAAGGAGAAAGAGACTGAGGAGGAGGGGGTGGGTGGGGGGCGGTGGTGCATGGTTTCGTGGTCATTTCTGAGGACAGCCCAGCTGTAGAGTCGCGGTCTGCCGCTCCTCTGCCTCGTCTTTTATTCACTTCTTTATCTTTGCTGTTGTTCATGCTTTCATTGCAAGTAACCCCACAGCCCACCACTCTCTCTCTCTCTCTCTCTCATCTCTTATACCGGGTGAAGGTAATCATTCCCTTCATCATCACCTCCTACGCCACCCATATCAGGACCCTTGCTGCCTCCGCTCGACTGCTGCCCTCAATCCCCCTTGAAAGAAGCCGGAAGTCTTGGAGGGTGGGGGAGAGGAGGAGATAAAACCAGGCAAGGGAAGCTTGATCTTTGAGGGGAATGTTGTCTGGCTCGAGGCCTTCGTTTCTCTTACAGATCTGTTTGAAGAGATCTCGGACCAGGCTTCATTCCCCCCAATCGTAGCTTCCATCTCTCTACCTCTACCTAGCAGTCACCATGGCCTCAAGATCTGAAGGTGCGTTCTTTCCGTTCTTCTTTTCGTTTGGCCTTTCCTGTTGTTTCTGCGATGAGCAGATTGGAGCAATGATGGAGGGTTATGATGACTGACTGTCTTCCGAGATCTTCTCGTCTCATGTTTTCTTCCCCTTTCCTGACACGAAGGCTAAAAGGCCTTCATCATTACCTCCCGAAAGGGGTTTATCTCTTGTCTTGCTTCCCTTTCTCCGCCATGGCAAATTTGCATGCTGAGTTAGCTGGAAGACTTCGAGGTTAACCCACTTCAGATCTCTGTTCTCCTTTTCCGTTCCTTTTCGGAGGGGCACATTTCAACCTTCTTTATGTTCTTCATGTTGCAGTCCACAGAGCAGATATGATCACAAGTTACAAGCAAGTGCATGTGGCATCTCTTGCTACCTGTCGATCTCCTCCTCATCTTGACTGGATCTTGTTTGGTACTTTGCATTTTGATATGGAAATGTCAGATTAGGTTATAGCATTTTGTTTTTCCATCACAACCTCGATCTTTATGCTCAGACCAAAACCTAAATCCATTCCCAATGCTACGCTTAGAATATTATCCTGATGCCACTTCTCAAGAGATAGATGCCTTCGGTTCTCACGCTCCAAGACGTACATCTGCCTCCTGTTGTTGTGTGTAGCCAACACATCTCGGCCTTCAAAGTTCAATGTCATTGTATCTTCTTTTTTAGGTTAATCTCATTTGCATACTTCTTTCCTACTAGTGGAAACAGGTTAATCTCAGCTTCAGGTTTCGCTGTAAGAATGCTAGAAACTGAAGCTGTCCTTGCGTCGCATAACATGAATTTGGAAACACGCGTTGCGGTGGCTTCTTCTTCTTCTTCTTCTTCTTCTTGCACATGGAGAGTGTTGAGAGCACAGTACTGTAGGGTTTTGTTTGGACACAGAAGGGTAAACATGACAGCTTTCAAATCGGAAACTCTCACACGGAACCAGGGAAAACGTCAGCTTGCACCCATTTGCATCCCATCTCGCAGGCTCACGCACCATCACTCACAGTAGATCTCGGGGTGACTTTGCCTCCGTTCTTAGCATCACGTAGTATGTCATCTGAGCTCACAACCACACCTCAGATTAGGTTATACATCTGATAACCAGAAAAAGAAGAAGTACGCACTTACTTCCACACCGAACGAACATCTCAGTTCCAATGAATCCATTTTCTCTGTCAGTAGATCAAGCTCTACTGAATGACATCAATATTTTGTTAAAAGGGATGAAGATATCTGTGATGCACAGACTTGGAATGTTTTGTTGAAGTTGAAGTTAAGGCTTTTGGACGACTATATGCGGCCACTTTTGTGGACATCTTTACTGTTTGGCTTGTCGGCAGCGGAAGAGTTTGAATATAAGCTCTTCGGTGCTTTCTTTTCCATGAGTTCGCCGTTCCAGGAAGAGCATTGGAAATGGTGTCCACGGTAATCCGACCAATGTTTCTTTGTGTGGAGGCGAGGGTACTATCAAATTGGATTTGTGGCAGAGAGATGATGTTAAGCATTGCACTTTTGTTCTTGTAATTATTTGCAGTAGAATAACATTTGTTAAGCAACAGCTTCGGAAAACATTTCTGGTTCATTCCTTATATCTCATATTTATTCTGCTCTTTCATTTATCACATCTGTTCTTCTAACAAGTGACGGATTCAAAATGCGTGGATTCTGATCCGAGAGGATCCTAATTGGGTCAAGATAGATAATGTGATCTGTGTGTGCGTGATATCCTCTTCTGTGCTTGGAGGAGATAGTGAACGATGCTGCACATGGATGCTTCAGATAGATGTTGCACGCATTCCTTCGTTTCATCCTGTTATCTCGTGCTCTCGTCTGCCCCCCGTGCATAGCACTGCAGTTAGCACCATCACGGCCATCGCCGGCTCCTCTTGTTCGCATTCATCCATTCATTACTCGGTGTATCCCAGCCACATCCGGCAGTAATCCACGGTGATTAGGAACGAATATAAGATTTTGATATCAAATTTTGATATGGCATATTTCAGCACCATACACGGCAGCTGTCGACGACCACGACAGCACCGACAAAGGAGCTCTACGCTAGCACGACGCGATACTTCAAACCCGAATAAGGTGACCACTTGCTCTTGTACTGTTCGACATCGTACAAGTCAATGTCGTATACCGCAGAACCATTCCGGAAAGCTCAGAATGGCGCCACACGAGGTACGAGCCAGCCATCCGAGGAGTTGACAACCATTAACGGAGTATGTACGATCGACCCTCGTTCATAGGTATAAAAGCTAACCCCCTGACTAGCACCAGGAGGAGGACTTTGAGAATTCAATTCCCTCTTACTCCACTCAACACTAACTTAGACTTCGGAGGGGTCGAGTTGAGAAATCTCTCTTGACCTTAGACTATGTGCAAGAGCTAAGTGATGAAGAAGTAGGTAACTTGCCAAGGGAGAAGACCGCACTCGAGAGATGAGGCTCGAACTCAACTTGACCTGAAGCTCACTTCCACCATCCGAGCATCCACGTGGGCAACCTTGCACATTCAGGATTAGACCGAGCCATGCTGACACCTCAGCCTTCATGGGCGCCGCTATTGCGGTTGCCTGGGCTTGCAAGCTGCCAACCGCTTGCACACAGATGGCAGCCATCTGTGAGGGCAGCAAGGGCAGAAACAGTTGCTACCCTTTCTCGCTTTTGCATCAACAATTTTGATATACAAAGCATTTCTAAAATACAACATATACAGTTTAAAATCTAATTTTCGCAAGAATAACTTGGCTCTGATACCACTGTAGGGAAATCTGGGGTGACATTACATATGCAATGGAAGAACATAAAACAAAATCTTAGAATTTTTTCGTAGAAAAGAAGGTTTCATCATCGTGCGAAGATTGATGCGCAAAAACTCACGAAACTAAAAACCATGCGTGAGATAGTTGTATTACCTAAGGAGATTGTATATTCTTGAAATCCTACAGATCTATGAGAGAGGATGAAGAAGGTCAATTGTCCTCATCTCTAACGGTAATCCACACGGTAAGGGCTATAAAGACGTTCCTCGAATTGCTGCCCAAATCTTCACACGCTCCAAATAGGGGCTGCTAGCAAAGAAGAAAGGGAGAGAAGAATAAGATGTAGCAGCCAAAAAGGTCTAGTCTATGACCCTTTGGTTTCCTCATATTTGTAGAGGCTCCATATCAATTTAACCCTAATAAATCTCACTCTATTGGGTACTAGATCCTCATCCAACTACCCAAGCCTCTTATATTAGTGGATCTCTGCCCACTAATATCTTATTGACTCTTATTGGATCTCATTCGTAAGCCCGCCTCAACCAACCACTCCTTGGTCATGTTTCTAATCGCTCGGGAAAAAGAGAGAATCTCCTTCAAGTGCCCGAGCTGCTCGTACTCGTCGTTAGATAGACCCGGGGGGGGAATTATTGATTGACCAAGACAACCATCGAAGACCAAAACCCCAACCACGACAGCAACTGATAAAAAGGTATCGACTCTTTCACTCCTTGTTATTGGAAGGAGCCCCACTCACCCTAAAACCTCCTCGAGATGACAAATAGTAGTTGCCCGCTCCCTTGGAAAGAAGGAACCAAGAGAAGAAGAGTGAGTGGGTCGGGGTGATACCTACCCCTCGTCATTCCCCGAGGAAGGCTATCAAATAGGCCACGAGTTGGGCGTCATCTGTGACAAAGAGATCCGCCACCATAAGAGGCAAGCCTCAATAATGGGGTGCAGGGGGAATCGAAGTCCCGCCTCAAGTGCATCCAACATCAAACCAAACTCGTTCGGAATAGGGTCATAGGCGCATTTCCCAAACCAAGGAGTATGAAGCTCGTAATTGCCCGGGATGCTATAACACTCTCGGACGCGGTCGAGAAGTTCCTCGGTCATGATGGAATCAAAATTATGTAGTGATTTTGAAACCTCAAGGGCCCGAATGACCTTCTCATCGAGGAGGCTTCACCCTTTGACATCCTTGATCAACCACTTGAGGAGGAAGAAGAAGAAGAGGAAGAGGGAGGAAGAAGAAGACACCCTGACTGACCTGGACGGCTAAACGATCGAAGAAGAAGAGAACTGGGGAAATTGTAGAACAAGTGAGCGAAATAGAGCCGACGGAGTGTCACGGACAAACTTTTAAACAGGATGTTTGATGTAATACTTATGTATGTTTGTGTCTTTTGGTATGTTCATGCTTTATACAACATTTAGAGGGACGGCCAAAGGCTTAATAGTCTCATTTTAGTTAGGTTGGTGGCCGCTTTAGGCTTGTAAATAACGGTTGTATCATGTGGACACGTGTGAGAGATTTTCGATCTGTAATGGATCATTTTACCCTTTGTTGTGCAACTGTTCAAAGCTTGTAAAGTCTGTTTGTAATTTGCATTGTCTATGAAGTGTTTTTCGGAAATGTGTGCTTGGGGATCCCGAATGAGGCGTTCTCTCTAACTCGTTCTCTCTTTTGTTGGTCCTAATGGACAATGGGAGGCTTCGGGGAGGCTGACATTTGCGGACGAACACGCATGGGTGCCGCACAACTTAGGCAAAACCAGTTAAGTCCATGACAGGAGGGACTTATAAAGAGAATGACACATGCCCAAAGCAACCCTTCGCCTACACAGAAGAGGAAGACATCTTATCTTATCATCATGACTTGTGAGAAGGAGTGCCTAGACCCAAACTCCCAAGAAGGATGGCGGGAGGATGTGCGAAAGAACTCAAAAATCCTGCTCAAAATATTTGAAAATCAGAACTCCCACCAAGGCCAAGGTCGAAGTCAACTTTCCCTCCATTTCCCCGGAAGGCCGAAGATTCAAAACCTCCCGCTTAAAGACTTGTAGTGCCCGAGTAGCGGTGCTCGGCTAAACATGGGCCCGAGTGACATTGCTTGCTTACACCAGTCTTCAGTACTCGAGCTATGGTGCTCGACGACATCAGACCCTAGTGCCAAGCTACGATGCTTAGTTACATCAGTCTTTAGTGCCCGAGCTATGGTGCTCGGCTATATCAGTCCCTAGTGCCCGAGCTACGATGCTCTGTTACATCAGTCTTCAGTGCCCGAGCTACGGTGCTCGACTGTATCAGTCCCCAGTGCCTGAGCTACGGTACTTGGTTACATCAGTCTTCAGTGCCCGAGCTACTGTACTTGGCTGTATCAGTCCCTAGTGCCCGAGCTACGGTGCTTGATTACATCAGTCTTCAGTACTCGAGCTACGGTGCTCAGTTGTATTAGTCCCTAGTGCTCGAGCTACGGTGCTCGGTCATATCAATCCCTAGTGCCTGAGCTACGGTGCTCGGAGACATTAGCCTTCAGTGCCCGAGCTACAGTGCTCGGCCATATCAGTCTCCAGTACCCGAGCAATGTTGCTCGGCTAGTCATGCATTCCTCCATTATTTGTTGCAGACTAGTCCAGTGTCCGACTGATACCCATTCCCTGAAGTTACGTCGCCCAACCAATCCAACATTGATCGGTGATCAAGCCAACAATCCCTGTATGACGGTCGACTCACTTAGACAAGGACACTGAGCCATGCTCCGAAGGAGCCAAAGCATGGCCCTCTCGGGGGGGGGGGAAGAAAATGATATGGCATATTTTGGTAACACACTCTTTGGCAGCAGTCCACAGCCACTATAGCACCAGCGTGGAGCTTAAAAGCCGATGTGGCAGACCACGTCGACGCAACGCCTCAGACTCAACTTACTCAGCCGTCCTCTCGTGCAGTACAAGATTGTGCAAGGTATGCTGTCAGGTACGAAGCCACCCCCGAAAAGCTTAGGACGGTGCCGTCGGGTACGAAGCCGCTCCAAAAAAACTCGGGATGGTGTCGTCGGGTACAAAGCCGCCCCAAAAACTCAGGACGACATCATCGGGTACAAAGCCGCCCCAAAAAACTCAGGATGGTGCCACTCGACATCATGCCATACAAGTCGACCGACATCCGCACAGAAGATATGAACAAGTCGCCTAAGGGGTCGACGGCTATTAACGAACCAGGTATGACCGACCCCCATGTGCAAGTATAAAAACCCACCACCCGGCCGACGCCAAAGGGAGGAAAAAAAACTCTCTTTGATTCCACTCCAACCTTGACTTGAGCTTTAGAGAGGTCAAGTCAGGAAATCCCCCTCCCGACCTCGTCCTGTGTGTAGGAAACCGGTGACAAAGAAGCAGACCACTCATCGAGGGTAAAGATCGCGCTCGGGGAGTGGAACCCGAACTCCACTTGACTCGACCCGACGCTTGCTCTCGTCGTCAGAGTGTCCACGTGGGTAGCCCTGCGCATCGGGGACTGGACCAAGCCGTGTTAACTCCCCAGCCACAACGTAAAGGTTCATCTGATGTCATCATTGGTGCATAAACTACGGCTTCATCTTAATATCTTGCTGAATCAATGTGACCTATAGATAGTTTCCATCTGATGTCAGACATTGAGAGTCGAACCAATACAATGATCGGGTGTGTTCTTGGGGGCAAACACTCCACCGGCTTTTCATTTGTTCCATGTACAAAGATTGGATGTGTTCAGCTATGTATCTGACTATCAACCAATCTTGTGAATCCTACTGCGCATTCTA